ACATGATTTTAATAATAACCTGCGGCAATAATATGGAAATTTTTCCGTCAGTGTATACATAGTACCTGACGGATAAACATTGATATACATAAAATATACACTTTTTGTTTATTCACGAGGTTTATGCTTTGTGTTACGAAAATTTTTGTGTTCAAATTTCTTTGCTATATTTTTGTATTGTATTACTATATTTGTTAGCGCTATTGTATGGAATGGCTGTGCATGGGTTTGAGACCATAGAGCTTGGTCCAGGACCACGGATATTGGTTTGAGACCATATATCTTGGTCTAGAACCATAGACCTTGGTCTAGACCATGGATCTTGGTTTGAGACCACAGATCTTGATTTCAGACCACAACACTTTTGAGTGTATAAATATGATAGCTGAACTCAGAGAGAATCAATGGAGGTAGATAGATGATGATATGATGATGTGTATGTAGATAAATAAATATAAAGTAAATAAATATAAAGTAAATAAATTCCTTAATAACCCACTATCATTAATTCCGAATTACCTAACGAACATCCATTCCGCATAACCTATGCTTGTAACCCTGAGCTAATCTAACCAAGTCTCACCAACGGTTACAACACTTGACAACATATTATGTAAAGTAATACTATATTTTGTGTACAGTTAGTCATCTGTGAAAAATCTATCATCATAGATTTTCCATAGACAGCTAACTGTACACAAAATATGATTGAAAGCCCGAAGTCTGGTTTTCTCTTGGTGGCATCCGAATAATAAACTTGGATAGCATTCAAATGATAAACTTGGATAGTAATGTAAGTGCGTATAGTTACAAAAAATGAAATTTTAGAAAATTCATTTATTGTTCCTTAAATTGAGCAACACACGAATTTGTAATGAATTTAGTTAATTTAACAAATGAATAATTCCATTCCGAAATCGTGTATTATTAATTTTCTTATAAATTAACAAGATTTCTCTAACTCATTATTAACACCCATAAAACATGACATCTTTTTGGAGTTTAAGATTTAAATCTTTAATTGAAATTATTTTATTCATACTCATTTTTACATGTATGATTTTCGGAATAAATAGTTTCACACCAGAGGGTAGAGGTGGTCATGTAGCCGTAATAGATCCACGTAGCAATCAGATTTATTTTATAGGTGGCTCTCGTCTAATTCCAGACAGAAATCCAATAAAGAGTTCAATAATAGTATATAATTTATCAAATAAAGTTTTTTATTTGGATCTTAAGTCACAATTCTCTACAAATAATCCACCATATGTTGAACTTCCTGGTTCACAAATGACATATGGAAGTGAAAAAGGTTAGTTATTAAACTAACATGCTTCGTAAAGTTTAAGAATTATTTTATACATACTTTATTATATATTCATTAGGAACTGCAGTTGTTGGTGGTCCTAGCAAGGATGATGTATATATCGTTGGAGGCACATTACAAAACTTTACACTCCTTAATCAAATTGAAAATAATGCAACGATAACTTCGAATCAAACATTAATGACAAACGAATTACTTAATACTTGGAATGTGACAGCTCCAAATATTTTTATTTACCGACCGTCTACAAAATCTTGGTTGAGTCCTAAAACAGTTGCTAATGGGGGACCAACGATTAGACGTAGATCAACTTCAACAGTAATGGATCAGGATGGAAGAATAATATATATATTTGGAGGAAGAGAACAGATAGATACTGGGTCACCTACATTTATTTGCTTTAATGACACTGCCCTTTCAAAATGGAATATAATTAATGCAGCCAATCCACTGCAACAATACTTCCAAATGGTAAAATTCTTTATATTGGAGATGTTTATCAAATTTCTCCTGGAACAGATACACCGCTAATTGATATGACCTATGTAAGTTAATTTTACCTGGGGATATTTATTCGAATTATTATAAATCACGTTTATTAGCTTTCACCATTTAAAAGTCTTCCTTTTCTCGACCTTAATTATAGATCTCGGTATTCGATACAAATTCTTTGACCTGGTCATACACAGTTAATATCCTTTTTTTTTTTTTAGTCATCCTTTATATTTTTAGCATATAAACGTTATATCATTTTATAGATTACAAAATACTCATCAACTACTCAAGGCCGAGCAGGACATACAGCGACCTTATTTGATAATAATACAATCATCATAATAGGTGGAACTACAAGTAATTATTGAAAAATTTTTTTTTTTAATATACTATTATACAATATACGTATTCACAGGGCAATATTACCTAATTATTTATTTATAGGCTATGTATTAAACCAGACTCCTGCATATCCGACTTTTTTGTTGTTGAATATTACAAAAGAACCTTATGAATATTCTGAACTAAATGCTTCTGGAATACCACCACCTCCATTAGCATACCATACCGTAACTTTATACCAGAATTATATGATCGTTGCTTTTGGTAATTATTATCTCATTTATTATTATTATTAATTATAAATTAAATTAAATTTTATCTTTATCTTGAAAAATAAAGGTAACATTACTAATGGTGCAACCAGCTCGACTGAAACTAATTCAAATATTTATTTATTGGATATGCCGTGCCTAAACTGGGTAACCAGTTTTACACCTGGCGAAACGAGCTGCCCACAACCACCACCACCACAACCACCGGTTACATTAATTATTTGTTTAACCATTGCTTGTTATGTAGTGTTTATTGCAGTTATAGTAATATTTATAGTAACTAGTCATTTGCAACCAACAAATATACTGATTATTTGTGTGACTATTGTTTGCTCTGTAGTGTAGATTGCAGCTATAATAACCGATACAAAACTTATAAACCCTCATCCGCAAATTGTTAATGTGATCATTGGTGTTACAATTGGCTTTTTTTTCGTAGCCATAGTAGCAGAAATAGTATTTTTACTCAAAAGAAAAAAAAGGAAATGGAATATTTGATCTGTTAGCTGTTTAATATTATACAGTCGTCCTCGTGAATATCAACCTTTTATTAAGAACAAATACGCTTAAGAAATATAAAAACTATCACTTTGTTATCAGCCCTCACATATATTAATATAATTATCTAATCCAAATAGGTTGATATAAATGAGGAGTAGTTATAAAGGTGTAAGTGATAATACTTATGAGATAGAATAAAAAAGAAGTTAGTTTGTTTGTTTTGTTTGTAATAAATTAGTTTGTCTATTGAAATTTAATAAAGTTTAGTATAAACTTAATTGAGGCAAAAGAGCGTGTAATAATTATATATAAATTATTTTCGAATAAATATAATGAATATAATTTAAGAAGAAAGAAAGAGTGAATCAGGGATTTCAGGTATTTGAAAGTTTGGTAAAAAAAGATCTGT